TATATTTAAAATATACTAAAAAATAGTTATATACCTAAGATAACTATCGTCATAATAAAAAGATTTAGCCACAGAAATACTAATAGCAAACTCCAGCCTTAGGAACTAGGAATGCAGGTTTAAACAAAGTTTTCTGGCCAGCCAACCTTCACCTGAATTTGCCAGTATTCTGGGCCATAGGGAAAGCAATAAATTTCTAGAGAAGTTTAACTATATTATAGATAAAACCATAATCTATTAATGTAATACTATAATGTTATAGCCTTTAATAATTACTAAAAATATTTAAAATCATAGCCAAAATAATAGACTTACCATGTGAATACATATTCGCTTCTTATGGACAATAACAGTAACGCATATAATTATTATGTATTAATAAAGTAGCAATATTACTATATATAGATTATATACTTTTAAAATTTCTATATTTATTTTAAAATTTATAGAAAATAAAAATACCATCCAGACATAAACGATTAATTTTTAATAAAATATATTATTACAAAATTACTTAGCTAGAGGCGCCATCTATCTATAAACTGTATAACTGAAAAAACTTTTTTTATATAACTGTTATATAACTTTTTACAAATTTAAGAGGGTAACTGTGTTCTATACAATGTTTAATAAAGTTATTAATATTTAAATATATATTAGATTTATCACTAACTAATACCTTGTTACGATAAATATAATTCAAAATAATATTTCGATATATTGAGATGGATAAGTTTGAATTCCAGGAAGGAACTTTAAGAATGTTAAAATTAAAATCATCTCTTTTATCATAAATATTGCTATGTAATTTATAGTCCTTAATATATAATGATACATCCAAGTAATTAGTTTTAACAGGATTATTATTAATTTTAAGTAGCTTTAAATATCCCGGATAAAAATTGATATTGGGATTATAATTATTATTTTTACCAAAAATAATTAGGTCATCTATGTATCTAAAATGTAATAATCACTATTAATAATAAAATTATTTTCGTAAAAGTGTAAATATAAATAGCCAAACTATTGCTAGCAGGGCCACCTCTTGAGGCAAACCTTTGGTTTGTTTGTACAGAGAACCATTAAAATTAATGTAGTTTTCTTTTAGGACAAAATTTATTAGAGTTCTAAATTTTATAAATTAATATTAAGGTTATAATTTCTGTGATTATCTAAAATTACCCTAATTACATCATTGATATCAATAGAGTTAAAAAGATCTTCAAAGTCATAACTATGAACTGAATAAGTATTTTTATCTTTAAAAAAATCTATAATTTCTTTACTATTTTTAATTATAGCTTTATTACATTGCTTATTGATGAATTCTTGCAAAATATTGTGCAGCATTTTACCTGCAGCAGTGATATAAGTTTTAAAACCATTTGTTACTGTTCTAAATTTAACAGGATTTTTATGAAATTTAGGTGTTAAAAATATATATGGAAACTTAATCTTATGAATGGAAACATTCAATTTCCTGTATATAGCAGTGATTCGATTAGTAATTTCTTTATCTGACCATTCCAATCTATTGAAAGATTTATTGTTTAAAAAATGTTCCTTAATCATAGTATTATAAAAATACTTACAGATAATAGCATAATTACCAGGCACTTTATCTATGTAAACAATGATAAAATTCTTTTGTAAATCATAAATTTTCTGTTTTACATCTTTATAAGTGAGTACTGGTTTAGAACAATAGTTAAATTTCATCAGGTCTTTTAAAATATTGTACTTAAATTCATCAAATGACTCTAAAGGCAAACCATATTTAACTGCAGATTTAGTAATGAAATTATTTATATCATTATTAATTTGATTTTTAACAGTATTATTGTTGTTAGAAATTGTTAATCTAAAACTAGTGCCTTTACTCATGATATCTTTTAAAATTCCATCCTTGATTATATTTAAATTGCCTGTTACGACATGTTTGTGATAGCTATCAATAAATTCATGATAGTTCTTACATTTACAGTCATCTATGTCAAGAGAAGGTGAGCTATTACTGTAATTAAAGATAAATCTGCCCATCGTTTATTATATTTAAAAGCTTTTTTAACTATTACATTCCTAACAGGAAAAAGTGACAAATGTCTATTAAAAACACTAGAAAAATTAACTTTATCAAATGTATTATTCATGAATAATAAAGTGCAGTATTCTGTAGTAGGTTTATTAAATTAATTGACATTTATATTGAATTTATTAAGTAAAAAATTATTAATGTCTTTTATTATGTGAACTGCATGACACACCTTAAAGCACTCATTATTTAAAATTTCATCCAACAGTACAATTTCCTTTTTATTAAGACCAAACATGAAATATTTGATCTGCTTGATATTAAAGTTTAATTCAAAATCATTTATAATAGCTTTAATATTATCAATTAAAGAATTCTTATCTCTGTTTTTTCTTTTGTTCTATTGCTCCTTGAGTTTCTTTTAAAAACTGAATTGGAAGCAGTATAAAAAAATTCTTTGTTATTGCTCTGTGACATAATTTGGAGTGTGTTTTTAGCAAGGTATAAAAACATTAAGACCATATGGATATATTGTATTAAAACTTCTGATAAAATGATTTTCCCACCATAATGTGTGCTTAGTATTTGGTACGATTTTAATAATCGACAATTCAACATTATTAAATCCATGCATTTGAAAGTGTCTGAGCTCAATTTTATTAGAATTGTTGGTTATATATATATATAAATATATATATTCAAATTTTCAGTCGTAATAATATACTTCCTATTTATCCTCTATTTATTAATTTCTAAATTCAGCCACAATCAAGTTCAAATAAATTTCTTTAAACTTGTAGTGGATGCACTTGATGTTAATACAGTTTTTTCAAATATTAATTCATTAATTAAATAAAAAAGGGAGTAAATAGTAACAAACTAAAATAATAGTTCAACAGCATATGTAGAAAGAAAAATCTTTCGTTGTGTCCCTGTAGCGCAATAGATCGTGCGTTGGATTTTTAATCCAAAGGTCGTGGTTTCGAATCCCACCTGAGATAACCTAATTTCTGAGAATGTGATTCTATTTTATTAGAATAATTAAATTTAATTAATGAATAAACAAACAAACAAAAATATTGTCCTGCACCCTATATAGAAAGGAAAATGGAAAATTGCAAAGACAATAGCTTTCTATATTTTGTCACTTAATATTGTGACTCTGTAATATGTATATACATATATATATTAGATGTAACTATTTAATAAATGTAGCGAAAATAAAAATTTTCTTTGTTTGCCTAAGCAGGAATTGACTTAATTTTTTTATATTACTTGTTTTGTTATAAAGACATAGTTATTAAAATATTTTTGTAGTTATATAAATCATTTCGTAGTATTTATAACTGTAACATATGCTAAAATGATACATCGATTTATTTTATTATACTAAATAAGAATATTATAAAATAACCTAATTAAATCTATTTTTGTAAATGTACGTATTAGTGTAATAAAGCTAAATTTAAAAAGGACTATAAGACAATAAATGGCACAGCAAGTATATTAAATTAGCAAGTAATGTTCTACCAATAATTGTTTCCTAGGTTGACGTGCTAATTTCTTTTAATTCTCAAAATTGCGCTAGTGATGTTATTTTTTACATGTTAATAAACAAAATGCAAGTTTTCATATAATTCATACATAAATTCGCGTTCTGATTCTACCAAATCCATTCATATAGAATAGTGAGAGTTATTACAAGTCAAATACAACTAAGCCATAGAAGTCATCTCGTATTACTGAGTGGAGATTAGATGGGTATAGAACAAAAATGAGATTAAATCCGCGCCTGTTATTTCAAGGCTTACAATTACGAAGTTAATCCTCAAAACCTCTCATGGAATGGATCTCTTGAAACTTTCTAGGATGATATTAATTCAAACTAACAGTCTGTATAATATTAATAAATATGTTGCTTTCATAGACATATGAAACAGAAAATCATACAGTAGAGGATTATTAGGTGTAATAGATTTAATTTTTTGTAAATATTAGTTAAGTATACAATAAAAGGTTGTATCAGTAGTCAAGTAAATTATATATATATATATATATATATATATACACAAATGGATGAACTTGTTTAGAAGGGATCATCAACGCATTTCACATTATTTTAAAGATAAGTATACATTCATTGCCATAAAAATTTGAGCATCAAGAAATAATCGTTGGATTCTAACGAAACTTTGCATAAAAATACATATTGGACTGATATACAAATGTTTAAAAATTCAGCATGTAATGCAACTAGAGGGTGTTGAACTTCATTCTACTTGGAGTATAAAACAGGTAAGCATAGCTTGTTTGAATGAAAATCTTTTGCAAAGGAAACGCTGATGTAGGCATGCTGTTACGCACTATCGAAGGCAATATGAGCAGATGTCAGAGTTCCAGAAAAGAAGAATCACACATTGGGATGATGGAAGCTGGGTGATCAACTCGGCGATTAGCTCGTCAAGTAGGCCTTTCTGATTTACCTGTGAGGAGGTTTTGAGACTAGTGGGCAGAAGAGACTCCATTTACTCGGCGACCAAGCTCAGGATGCCCTTGAAAGACCCATCGTCGAGAAGACCGTTACAGCATATGACACGCACACGTAGAACCAACTGTCTCATTGGCCGTGGTCCAGACACAGGCAGCACCTTCACTACAGGCCCCTGTGTCTTCCCGAACCATTGCAATGCACCAGCTGAAGGATGTCTGGTATCACGGTGACTATTATGTGTGCTGGCAATGACACCCAACCCCAACACCTCCATTTTGAGTGGTGACGCACACGTCAGGATTGGACTGCAACTGAATGGGACCAGGTCGTCTTCAACGAGGAATCTAGATTGAATTTGAGCAGTGATGACAATCATGTTCGTGTGTAGAGGACCCGTGGTGAACGTCTCAAACCTACCTTCACTTTATATCGACACACCATTCCCACAGCTGGTGTGATGGCATGAGGTACCATTGCTTACGATACACAGTCACCCCTAATATTGATCCATGGTACAATAATAGCCCATATGTACGTCCATGACATTCTTCAGCCAAATGTGTTGCCACTCATAGCAGGGCTCCCAGGAGCCATTTTTCAACGAGACTGTCCTCGGCTACACACAGCGAGGATGTCACAAGAATGTCTCTGCTACATTACCACCCTTTTCTGGCCTTCTCGATCCACCGATGTTCCACCAATTGAGCATATCTAGGATCATTTGTAAGGACAAGTTGAAAAGCGACGGGTTTGGTTGAACCAGACACGCACTTACAGCAACTGTGGAACGAGATGTTTCAGGACATCATCAGGAGCTTGTATGCCTGCTCAATGCCCACTTGTATCGAATCTTGCATTCACGCTAATGAACTCTAACAGAATACTAAAACTTATGTTCCTTTGTACTTTTTCTACGATAAATGATCCCTAATCACTTACTTATATCAATAATGATATTATAATGATTTCTAATCACTTACTTATATCAAAGTAATTATTGCATATGCAAATTTTCATTTTGAAGACTTTTTATTGGTTCACACATTTTTATAGCAATGAGTGTACTTTTGGTTATTGTCTTAGTCCATTTTCATTTTTAATTTTATTCTGTTATAAATTAATCTATAATGATATTGTTCTCCATATTTTTTACTTGTCGATTGACTGCAGATAATATCTGATTTGCACGATATCGATCACTTTAAAAAGAAAAAAAAACATAGATGTAAACAAAGATACAGAAATATATTTTTATTATCGTTTCTTATTTTTTAATGACACCAAAAGAAAACATATATTTGAAGTACTTGAAACTGCAATTTTTTCATGGGAAGATTCTTAGTATTCCTTTTAAAATTTTCAAAAAGTTTTCTTATTCTCACTTTTTAAGTACCATATACCTTTCCTACAAGGAAGTAATAATAAATTTAATAAATAAAAAATGGAGAAGACCAGGAAATAAATACTTTTTCGAATTTCAGGAAATTGAAGAGAAAAAAGGAAAGGAAAGAAAAAAAGACGTTCGACTACATGCATGGTGAGAAAAATGGAGATATATAAATGATGACAAGAAGCCTGACAGACTGGACAGAAGAACCTGAAAAGCCGATGTACATGTAGGAGACATTTGCGGATCGAAGCTTGTGAGATGCAACAAGGTCTTATCATCGTCTCAGCAGCCTTCTGAGATTAAGGTTAACAACCGGACGCGTTCCACTGTTTGAGAAAGAAGTTTTGGAACACTGGATGCTTATATGAAGCTATTCAACTTAAAGAGGTTTGAAGTACTTGGCATAAAATAATTTTTTCAGTCTATTTGGTAAGCGATTTTTGTACTCACTTGCAAAATTTTGAATTCAAAGGATACATTGTATTTTTTCACGTTTAGTCAGAGTAATTTAATTGTTGTATGTGTAAACTTCTAACATGAGTGTTTTCTCTAATATATAACCTACATGTTTCTAAAGAATTGTCACATTGATTTACAAAGTTCCATCTTTACATTAAAAAAATCATAAGTCCTTATCTATATATAGTAATAAGTTAAGATATGAAATATAAAAATGCTATATAGTTTGTATTTCTTAACAAATTACAAAATATACTTTACATTTGATATTAATAACAACAAATAAGGGTAACACATATAATTCTTAATAAAGCAATACATCCCCTCAAATGTAATATATGTGTATGATATATAAAAAAATAAATATAGTTTCAAAAATCTTTTTTCAGAATAAGCTGCAAATTGTAACAGGTAGATGTGATTTTACATACGGACATTAATAAAAAATACATTCACTTGAATTAAAGTCCTGTTACATATATATTGCATTCATAAATTGTGAGGCATGTAAATATACTTACTGAGATACTTGCTTAAGATTATGAAATATTCTGTTTTGTATATACCTTTTTCTTCTGATTTCAATAATTTTCTAAACATCAAATATTTTTTTAAAAAAAAGATACTAGATTTCTTCAATCTGAACATTAAATCTGTCACGCTAAGATTTATTCTATAATCGGCTCAAAATTAAAAATAATATTAAATACCCTAAAAATATTTCCTTTTATTTTCATGGGCTGTATTGGGAAAAAACGATGTATTTGGGACCAGACACAAAATCAGTTAAACACCATAAGTACAACTCTGCATAAAAACACACAATGTATAATTAACATATTAAATTTAAAAACATGATTTCTGTATTATAAATGATGCAGCAGGGAATTTACACTGGCATTTTTTTATACATCTTATATAACACATTATACATAACATTACACTACAAGATTATTAACTAATATAACTAGAGATTAAAAAATATAAGGTGATGCATTTAACATTGAATTTTAAAAAAACAATCCATTAATATTTAGTTTGACTGAAGTTGTTACAATTCTCAGGTAGTTCTCAAGATGTTCTGGTTTGAGATTTTACTTCTCTTAAAAATTTGTTGCTCAAAAATGTGCATTTGTTTCTAAAAAAATACAACACGAATAAGGAATGATTGTGCAGGGAGAGATATCTTTATTTTGGCATATTATAAAAATATCCGTAAAAGCATATATATAGAGTTTCTGTTTAAGTTGGATGTCAGATTGTAACTCTAAGCAATCCTTTTGAAAGTTCATTGGCATCATATCTGCGTAGGCCGTAAAAAATTCGCATATATATGAAAAAATATTTATTTTATTCAAAAATTCTGAAATCTATTTTCAAATTCTTGTTTCAAAATCACAATGTAGTATTTTTCCTAATTTTAGGATTATGTGTTTTCATTTTGCTGAAACGAAAAAAAATGTCTGGATTTGCAATAATTTCAAGTTCATTTGTAAGGCCTTTATGGTTTGAAACCTTGGTCAGGATTTTCATACATGTAATTTCCGATGAAACAAAACATTGAAAGGATTCTTCAAACACAAATGAAACAATACAATTAAGTCATTAAATTAAAGGAAGAAATTAATTGTGGAATATGATTAATAGATAAAGCAGAATTT